AGAAAAATAAATAAAGCTGTGTTGTCGGACAGAAAATTGATGTATGATTTTTCGTGTGAAAAATAAACAAAAATAATTAATTAGAATTTTATATCCAGGAACTAGGCAATATTTATCACCGGAGTGGAAACGGTGCAAAGTTTGATGGAACAGGTTCTTCTCTTGGCATTCATTAGTGTGGGATAAGATTGAAAATTGACTTATAACCCTTATATAAATCCTAACTCTACAAGTTCCTCCTTTTTTTTTAACAATTTAGACCTGATCTGAAAAACTGTCCTGTGAAACTGTCTTCTTTCTCATTTTACATTTCCAAATTACTTAGGAATTATAACATCATTTTAAATTTAGAAAGCACACGTGTAGGCTAATTTAAGAAAAGCAATGTCAAATATGCCATTTTCACTGTAATATAAAAAAAATTATATTCATTTACGAGATTAATAAAGCATACTACCATCGAAAGACTGACCTTAACAAGAAAAAAGACGTTTTCTATGAAAACTCAAGTCTTCTTTCAATAAATCATTTTAGGATTAAAAAGTGCATGATATTGCAAGAAAAACAATACCAAATTTGCCATATTTATTGAAAAATAAAAAGATATTGTCAATTAAGAGAACACGAAATATCTATTGTCTGTCAATAACATGACGAGAGATGCTTTATATGAAAATCCATGTCTTCTTTCTGTTTTTTTTTTTTTTAATAAGTAGACTTAAGAATTCTTGATTAATTCTAAATGTAAAATACCTGTAATAAATTAAATCAAATTTTTAAGGTTTTTGCTGAAATGATCGGAGATATCCCTCACTTTCTGCAGCTTTAAAATGAAACATGTCTCATTTTGTTCGTTTAACTTAATAATCCCAAGTATTAAGTTTCTGAAAAGAAAAAATGCCATCATTTTTTAACTGAATGGAGTACCAGTAATAATTATTTATCCCTACTCTGATGGTTGATATATACTAATTAAGGTTATTTTAAGGTTAAGGCTATTTTATATATGTATAGATATTAATTTGACATTTACGAACAAAATTTTGATGGAACTTATCCTTTTTTCATTCTGAAAAGTTTGGGTCCAAGACTTGTTTAAAGTTTTTTTTGCACCTGTCCCACCCTGGGGATAAATATTACTAGTACCTGGTCTTAAAGAACGCAGATGATAATAAAATTTCTTCCGTACCCGTATTTCATGACGTTTAATATTTATCAGATGAGTGTTACTCTGTCCTTAGTAGAGCTTATGTACATTTATTTCTTTGTTGTCAGATCGATCTACCTAACCGTATTGCCTTTCTATGAGATTTAACAGCTTGTATTTATTATACACGTAGTACATTGTAGCTGCTAACAAATTATTAATTATTTACGGTGCTCTTGTACAGAAAGTAAGTTTGCAAAGTAGATTAGGTTTTTTTATAAAGATGGAAAAGGTATGATATATATCTTAAATACTGAAACGCAAATGAAATTCAACATTCTATTTTCAAAAAAATGTCAGACATTGGTTATAGCATTGTTAAAATTAGAACATCTTTGCAAAGTCGATGATGTAACGGTTGATTTGTTCTCATCCCATACTGGACGCAAGTCCTACCTGCCATGCACCTCCCCCCCCCCCCCCCAATAAATGGTACCACCATTTGCACGTTTGCTTCTGTTCATCATCAAGAAAAGTGTATGTTTCTTTTCCTTAGATGATGCAAGGGCTTCCTGAAAATGATAGTAAGCGCATTGAAACTACTTCTAGCAGAAAATTTTCAAAATTAAGTTAAAAGGGCGTTGCAGGTGCAAATATGCGCGACTGTTGAAAAGTCCGCGAACAGGGGGAAGACCAAGTTTTACGATGCTGCGGCAGGATTGAGGAATTCGACTACAGCGTCTGAGAAACAAGCACTTCAGGAAAACTAGCGATTTTTTTATCAGATCAAGAGCGATTTTTAGATCAGATCAAGAGACAAATGAATTCAATGCATCGTAGAACTGATGTGCATGGCGAATATCGAATATATATATGCTGCTATTGAAGATGGCTGTTATCTGTTAAATTATAGCTTTCAATTTTTCAATCAACTGTCCGATGATATTGAATCAAGTTATCTTATACTTTAAAAACTGTGTTCATTTGCAAACATTATTGGATAAAAATATTTGATGTGTAAATATGTGTAATTATCTACTTGTGTGTATCGCTATATTTAAGAAATGAATTTAATTTTGAGAATTCATGAGGACATGAACTACGACGCTTCAAGCCGGTATATTTCTTGAAGCACGTTAGCGCTTCATGGTAAATATGCAGGCGTGAAGCGTCGTAGTTCATGTACCTCATGAATTCTCAAAACTTAAATTCATATCTTATATTTACATTATTTTTCTGTTTGCACTATTTTTTGACTTTAATTATGTCATAAGGGAAATATTTTTACTCATACCACTGCAGTTCATGAGAACGTGAACTTTTTCAAATTTACAAAGAATCTTAAGGAAATTAATTTCTTAATCAAACTGAAGGTTTAACTTAAGGAACCCAAAAAGACAGTACGCGTATGGCGACAACATCACAAATTAAATGAAACAACACACTGGTGCTATGTAGTAAACCTTCGCCCGCAGTAAACGTTCCCCATGAAAGATTAACTGCAATGTAAATCTTTCCCCGTGGATAAAAATTTTACTATATTATGTAGTATTTCTTCTGCATAGTTAACATTCCCAGCTAACTGTAAACAATATGTTATTTGTATATTCTATGCTTTGTATATTGTATGATCACTAATAACTTAAATGCAAATAGTAAAGGTATTGCTTGTTTCATTTCAAAAGATACTCTGTTCAAGTCCAAATAAATAGGTTCCAGTCATATTTTATGAACATGCATCTCCAATACATTACTTCTCATGATCAAGTAAACGGAAAAATCCGAAGACAATTCAATGAGAAAATAATAATCTAACAATTGGTATGAAAAACGTCATTGAACATTCGACCTAATGATGGATCGTATCTGCAGCAGGATCATTGTATCGACCATAGAATTTGCGAAACGTTATCTTAAACAAGGTCATTGATATTCTTGTATCATCAATTTATTTGTAAGTAGCCTTCCTAGTTTTAGAAATTGTTTGTATGTAGAATATGCGCTTCCGTATGGAATCAACTGGAAGATATAATATTATAAACACTATATGCAATTGATAATGGTATCTTGCTACATAAGTAAGGGCATCTTCGCTGGCCAAGTGTCCGATTCGTTAACCCTCATGAGGGTAAACGAATCGGATATTTGGCTAGCGAAGATGAAGTAAGGGTAGTTGACGATAGAAAGTCATCACGTTTTTCATAAAGTCCACTTGATAATCTGCCATAATTGTCTTTTTCTAGTAAAACATCCACATATGAAACAAACCCTGTGATGTCTTTTATTTCCAGTTCAGTGGGATATATGAAATCAACTTAGGAATAAAATGAATAATAATGATTGATAAACCGTTGTCGATATATCTAAATGTCAAACTGAAGGCCACAGCAAGAGACTAGTGTTTTTAAAATAAATTCTGCTTCATAAGAATTCCAAAATAGTTTGCTAATAACGGGGCACAATAAGTAGCCATAGGAATTCCAACAGATTGTTGGAAGACCTGGTCTCGAAAGATAAACAAATATTTTCATTCTGAAACTCAAGCATCTTTTGATCTCAACTTTGGAGTACTTGTGTGTAAATTCGAAATAATTTCGCAGATTATCAATGACAAGATAACTTTATTTACATGTTCCATTTTTGTTGAAAAAACAGTTGAAGTATTACAGTACGGGGACAAAAGTGTTGAGAAAAAATGGCATCACGTTTCAAACACAAGAGGAACAACTCGTTCAAAAAGCCGTCTAAAACTGATTCAATACGATAAAACACAAAATAACAACATTTTTTTCCGTTTAAATAAAGTTCTACAATAACTTGTTTCAAGGGTTGTGAGTGAAATCTAGACATCTCCATTTTGTTATCGAGAGGAATAAAACAACAAAACTATAAGCAGACGATGAAATATACGTCATGCTATACGTCACCCATACTGATCTATTTATATATTTTATGGGGATTTCCAAAACTCGAACTTTGAACAAAAATTACACACTTTTTAATACGCACAGATTTATATGTTTTCTTGCTACGCCATTTCTTCTCAAATCTCTTCCCAACCGTAGGGATAAAATATTATATTATTGATATGATTCGTACGTCACATTGATAGAAGAGACCTTTGACACTTCTTAGCATATCTTGCATACAGATGACTTAACTACTTAAGGAGTAAATTAAATCATTGTTTCAGATAAACAGCAGTCTGTGTCGGTTTCCAGTGGAAATAAAGGAGGCAATATTCAGTGGTTGCAGTTATTAACAGGTGATGACATTGAACCAGACCTTAAAATCGTATCAAGGTAGGGTTTTTCAAGATAAAGAGCTCTCGCTTCTTTGACTTGCACTCGAGTTCATAGCAAAACTCTAAATTTGAAACGTCGGCCTTAATACATGTAGTATTCTTCCCATATAAGTGAATAAATTACGTTTTATTATTATTTTTCTTTAACATTAATCCACTTTTGACATTAATCAATTTTTAGATTAAGACATCCCCATCCCTACCCGAGGTTATATAAAAAAAATTAAAAGTGCTTGCACATATTCATTTGGGATTCATCTTTCATTTTCACCTCTTTCACTTTTTTTCAGTTCGTTTATAATAGGATCAAGGCATCAACACATTGTCAAAAGTAGATTTGTAAAGCCAATTGAATGAATTTGCTATTTTAAATTTTTCATCAACTATATGAATTTACGTTCATGTTCCATGATTTATTATTATATTGCTTTTATTAACATCTTACAAAATTTGATTTTTATTTGGTTTCAACAACAAATTAAGAATGAAATATCAAAAATAATAGTAATAGATAAATAAATATTAGATATTTTTATAAAATTGCTAAGACATAAAACTGAGGAAAATAATGTTTTTATTACAACATATGGAAAAAATAATTTAAAATAGTGTGCAAAAATAGAACAAGTCAAGTTAATGATATGATAAAGTTTACATAACAATGAATAAATACGAAGCAAATTCAATGAGTGTCCAATAGTTTATCACATGATGTAGGTGTCAAATCATCAGGGAATATACTCTTCATTTTCAATACCATAGGTGCCCAAGTGTTTTTCTGGTATGTCCGATCTGTAAAAATAAAAAAAAAAAAAGTTTATGATTCTGTGAAGTCACATAATTGATTTTTTAAAATTCTTCTTGATAGATGGTTATAGATACACTTGATTGAAGCTTTCTGAAGACGATTAAGGTTAAAGACTGGAATGGTTATTTATGAATATGGAAATAGTTTGCCAATCATTATCTGAAAATTAAGGGTATTATTTAATAAACAAACTAAATAACATTTTCAATGTCAAATAATTCTAAAATTCTCACATGTAAAAGTTCTCATGTCATAATCAAATAAGTGATTCATAAGTAATAACTATAAATTTCGAATTTACATCCTCATATGTAACTCTACTTTTTTCCTCTTTTTCCGAAGCTAAGGCACGTGTATTGTTTTCAAACAAGTTCAAGAATTGATGTTATAGTCAAAAAAAGGGGAAAAAAACTTTTTAAAGTTTAGGAAAAGGATAACTTCATTATCACAAAGTCTATTTCTGATGTGTCATTCTAGATTTCTTTGGGGGAGGGGGGGGGGGATCATGTTCATACTTTAGAACCAGAATATACGCTCTTGACTTTTGTTCATGATAAATTTACATGTAAATCAGAATGCTCCAAATTATTCATAAGGAACCTGGTTTGGCAAACATAGATTTTATGACACTATTCATTACACTAATTATCGTTATATAATGTGTAATGTTCACGAGGGAATAATAAGAATATCAATAATTAATATTTTTACAGTATTTTGGCCTCAAAGAGAATATCAGCAATATGGAGCGATTCAAACAGTTACTCATCATATTTTATTACCTTGATCTTCTTTTGATCTTTTATACAGCTCAAAAAACTTTTTAACCTAATATTTTTACATTTTAGAAATGAAGATAATGCTCATAAACAAAAGTGCAGTTTAAAATGAAATAAGACTTTTGCAATTTTATTTGAATTTTTATTTTCATAGTTCATTTTTTTAATTTCTAGTATTTACTTGCTCCCCTTTTTGCAATAACATAACAATCTTAATGCAATTAGGCATGTTTAGAACTAAGTTTTCACAGAACCTATTTTGAGAATTAAGCAATGTGCAAGGTGCTTTTTGCATATGTTTTATTTCATAAGTTGCTAGGTTGTTTTGAGTAAGGTCATGCCTTATTCATTTGACCCTATATGTTTTGATTTGCGTTTGATCAGGACTGTTTAAGGATAACAAAAATGTAAAAACTACGTTTCGTTTGAGTAACCCTTCTGATCTTTACTTACAATATAACAAGCTACTACTTGCAAATCGTTTATTAGGGAATACTTAACAAGCACACATGGTACTAATTATTTTTCAGTATCATCTGATAGACATGGGAGAATTTCAATATTAATACTGCCTGAAAACAATCCAGATGGAAACTCAGTCTAAAGCAATTCAGAGGAAATGCAGGTAGAACATGAGGAATTTTGTTAAAACAGACCAAAAACTAAAAAAGATAGATAGAATGTACTTCAGCTGGAATGATACTCAATTAAAACAATATTCTGTGAAAAGTTCATGAGATACCTAATTGCATTTAGGCTGTTATTCGTGCAAAAAGGGAGGAAATAAGTATTACAAAGTAAATTATCAATCATAAATATAAAAGCTTTTCTAATATTGCAAATTTCATCATATCTTATCTTTACGCATTTGCTTGGTAGTAATACATTTATTTCCAAAATGTTCATTTAATTAGTTCAAAAAAGCATGCAAGGATAAAAGGTGTTTTGAGCTGTATACCTTGGATGCATTACATGGGGTTTTAGTGCGTTTTAGTGTATGAAGAAGTAAATAAAAGTAGAGAAATTAAATCAAATTCCAAAAAGAATTCTTAATTATTCACAGAGATTATGAAATATCCGTCTCATATATTTTTTATTCTTTACTGTCTGTGAGTGAATAATCTCTCTCTATCTCTCTCTCAATAATACAAATACGGTTTGATGAACATATTTTGTAAAGAAAGCTTTAGAACATGGACTTCCTGTTAAACTCTTTTGGCATATTGCATTTTATCTCAAAGGAAAAGTCCACGCTGTACTTAAAATCTTTATTAGAAGGGAAGTCGACTTTGCTTTAAAAAAAAATCATGATAAATCTGACTGATCTTTTTCATACTTACTATAAAAATGTTAAGCAGAGATGCCATTCGTTAATTTCTAAGGGCAAGAGGGGATGCATTTGTTGCACTGAATCTTGATGGGATTCTACACGAAAAAGTCTTAAGAAAATGTCTGTTTGGTATGAAAGAGGGAGATGATATTGTCAACGATAGGAGGTCACATGTACCAAAATAGCGTGATCAAAACGATTATTTTTAGCTTTTTATCTCATTTACCTGGATGGCAACCTTCTTAGGCGGATTAACTTTTATCTCTCAAATTCAAAAGTAAATGTCTTTGTAACATTAATGTTTCATTAAAGATTTCATTTTTTTTTATCACAGATGTCAAAGAATGGAGAAAGTTCATTAGATATCGCAATGGAAGATTCTATGTTCTCTCAATATTTTGTTTTATCGTTTCATTTACTATCTTAACAAATTTAGTTTAACGCCTCAACATATACGGTATTGAGAATTGAAAAATTTATGAAAGAATACATCATACGCATCATTATTTTAATTACAGATGGCATTAGGTTTACTTTTTCAAAACTCAGGAAAAAAGAGAGATTCCAAATCTTATTAGTTCATAACATTTAAGGGTCGGAAGAGACATATAATATTAAGCTATCTGTACATCTTTTATTTTATTAAACCGTAAGGGAAAATTGTAGTATATAACATTCTCTATAGTGATTTTATCATCAAGTCGTATCCTCCTGGTATCGTCTCAAACCAGATTCTGACAAAGACTGATTATTCCAAACCCGTTGAGAATTCCGTCAAATAACATTACAATTTTCAAACTGATCTTTTCGACAGATCTCTGCCATTTGGAGTATTTGATAGTACGTAGACGAGCCAATTGTTTTCTCTTATTAGGTTGTCTCAATTACACTGATGGATGTACCAGCTGTGATGTTCAGGCCGTATATGGGGGTGTGATAGATAAACTCATTGTTGACGGTTGATCTCTTGTATCTTTTTATATTCATTCATTTTACCTTTTTTTTGGTGCTTTGATCTTTGTTGATTGCCAATGTAAATTCCCCATAAATTGTGTCACCTCTCTCTCTCTCTCTCTCTCTCTCTCTCTCTCTCTCTCTCTCTCTCTCGTTTAAATTATCATTTTAACATTTTAATTTTTAGGTATATAATTACTTAAGTACTTTCTATTTAACATTTGATAAAAATTTTGTGTTTGTCGGGATAAATTATTATATTCTGTCTAACACATATATTTCTTAAACTGAAAGGTACATATTCGACATTTTAATCTTAAATATTTTTAAAATATCTATCCCTTATAAATTTACAAGAGTAGAGTGGTTTGGTTTGGTTTGAATAGACACTTATGATAAAATGCATGGATAAGTTTAAGTGATATTTCATCATTTTGGGCTTTAAATGGACATAATACTTGTCCTTTTATCCAAACAATCCCTTAAAACCCCAGATATCACCAGGTAAAGGAGCTGGTTTATATAAATTTCATTGTAATGAAAGACTGAAATTCTGAAGTTCGCCAATGACTGTAATACTTATAATACTTATCATGGAATTAATTTGAAGTTTTGTAACAATTCTAGATAAGTCCTATTGAAACTACCTGTTAACATAAATACCTTTATGTATTTATGTTTTTATTTATTTATTTATTTATTTATTTATTTATTTATTTATATATATATATATATATATATATATATATTTATTGGTTTTGTTTTGTTTTAGATTTTAAACAGAAATTTCTTCTGTTCCATGAGACCGTAATTTAGTCATTTAACCTAAAAAATATTAAGGTACCCTTTTTATGAAATGTGTATATGTATATATATATAAATATTATCGATTTCTAATATTGGTTTTATTTATGAGTTTCCCTGTGTGATATAGTTTTTTTAATTAATTTTGTTCACTTTGGTCTTTAATTCGCTCTTCATAGAATATTGTAATTATGCCAAATCTGGATCATCTAGAAAGTAAGTCTCCCCTCCCACCTACAGACACCATCGGGACTCATTCTGAGCGATCATAAGACAAAAGATATTCGTGTTCTTAATTAAATTTTCATGATTATGGATTTCATATAGAGTCTAAGGCTACGGTGTATATAATTTACAAGCCGAGTGGAGAGTTCCCAATAAATTAAAAGTAAAACTATCTAGCTGGTGGTATTTGATTTTTCAATTTACTCTGAAAGAATTAGTAATAATTAGTCTAATGCAAATAAAGTAACAAAGAAATATATACACATCACAACAGCATCACACAATGTCTTATTTCCATTTTAGAATCAAATCTTTAAGCGTTACTGAAGGTTAATTGCACTACCCCTAACCCCTTAAGTAGTACCAATAGACCGTATCATAAAGAAAAATTCAAAGGTTTTGATTCTTAAACAGCAAATAGACACTTTCTTATGCTGTTGTGATGTGAAGAAACATGTTAAAAGGAATAAAGGAAAGTTTATCAAAATTGACGCTAACTTACTTTAAGATATCGACGTGATCTAAAAGCCACTGAACAAACATTTGTGCTTCCTTAATTTTATCCGTCGTTGTTAATTGTTCCCTGCGAAAATTTTGTCTCAGAGGTTCTAGATCATTGGTAAAAGTAGGAGCATGTTTCCTCTCTTCCATTTCTTCTTCTTTATACAGAGTGGAATATTTATTTGGAACGGGTAAAATGTCATTTAAAACTGTTCTTTTGCCGGCAAAATGGAAACCATTGCATCTACATAAATTACCTCCGAGTCCTCTATTGCAGGCCTTTTCACAAAATTTTTCCACTGAAAATCCACCTAAGACAATCGTGCAAAGAGCTAATACACACAACGAATTCAGCACCATTTGGTTCATGCTTGCCATTTAGAAAATGTCTTCAGTGTCAAAGAAATGTTTCTGTATGATGCTTTAAAGACTTTAATGTTTTAATGAAAATTCAGAGAGGAAGTGAAGTTATTTAATAAAACAAACTTCCCACCTAGTACGCTAATGTTGACTAACGCTGTTTGAAATGCCTTTGTTGCTAGATGCGAAAAGAAGGAATTCTTCTTCACCTACACGTCATTCACAAGTGGATGGACAAAACCTGAACAACAAACTATACCTGGTATTTCACTCAATGAAAATAGAACACAGGTTTATCATTACCATACATACAACTCAATAATTCCTTTTTTATCTGTGGCTGAGCTCGTTCCGTCCGTTTTTATAACCAGTAACTCTTCCGTTCCGTTACTCTCTGCTTAATTATCCTTTTGCCAGCTAATTTATAGTTCACTGACGCGCTGATGTCATTATTTCATATTGCTATAAGGTGGTCCCTAGATACCAAATATTTTGTGGGGGGGAAATAAATAATTAAATCCAACTAAAATAAAAAGAGCTTATTATTTCTCGCTTAATTTACTTCTTTCAATGTCTCCTTGGCCCCAACTCGGAAAGGTTAATGAAAATCCGGAACAAGGCCTTTGTCTGATATTTGTCCAGTGGAAACGTATATTTTAAGCAAAAAGCTTGCTTCAATGGTCATCAGTTTTCATTTCCTATATCAAGCCTTCATTGATAAGACTATTACAATGATTGATTTCCGGAAAAAGCTCAAACGCCTACCAACAGGGTTCACGAAGATCTCTTGAGAAGACAAGGGGCATTTTCCAAACAGTTTTTGTGGACAGTACTTGCGTAGTTTATTTCTCTTTGATTTATGATATCACAAACATTATCTGAGTCGCAATCTCTGCGAAGCTTAAAAATTTCAACACCGCCTATGGGTGGATGTAGAACAAAACAAAGATGAGTCAAAAGCCTGTCTGGGATTATGAAATAATTTTATTGTTGTCTCCTACTGTACTCCCATCCTGAAAGGTCAAAAGATAAATATTTTTAATGTCTAAATTGCTTATAAAATCGTAATAAACCAACAGCAAATTAGCTAAAACGATTAAGATTTATATTGATATTGTGCTATAATTTACTCGGAGTAATTTGGCAGGGAGCTAACTGATGATCGGTGAAATCCAGGAATTACGATATTGTGTAAAGCAAAGATTTTGAAATTAAGATAAATGCTAAAGAGGTTCGGATTCACTTGTTATATAGATCTTCTTGAAATCGAACGTCTTTTGTATCATAAAAATGACTTTCTCCTCATCAGACTATGGTAGAAGGTAAATATACAAAGGTAACAACTCAAAAAAATGCTATTGAACTCTACAATAATATGTTAGGCATTTGATGTCCATTTTACTGGCTGATCGAAAAAAAAAATCAAGCTTTGAATAGAAAGTTATATTTCCCAGAAGTGCATATACCAATGCGATAAATCTAAATTCAAATTATAAATGAAAGATAGAACAAATTGTTTTATACTTCCAGAAAATGTTAATTGTTTGACCATGAAGGTATATCAATTATGTATGATTTGCATCTATCTCCGATTGCATATAAATTCATCTTCAAAACAAATAAATAAAAGTTGTTTGTGATTTGGGTTGTAACCGTGAGCAAACCTAAGGGATTTTCCTCTATAAATGAAATAATATAAATCATTAGAATAATTATAAATAAACATCCTCATAATAAAATTATATCAAGAAATGTCATTTTTCACGAAAGTATGAACATAGACTTCTCAGACAGGCGTGGTACCTGAAAATATGGGGAAGTATAATCATATTTTACTAATTAACCTGGAATTTTTCAAACTATTTTAAGCAACCACTATTACTATGACGTCTTAACTGTACGTATGTAAGAAGGTCTGTTCGGGTGAATTTGTGATTTTTAATGAGAGAATGATTTTTTTATTGTTACAACGGAGTCCTAAAGGAAAACATCACTTATAAATATTCATTAATCAGGCGCATATTTATTTATTTATTTATTTATTCATTTACTATACAACGTCTAATAAAAATAAATAAATAAATAAAGGTGATAGATTGGAAGTCATGTTGTTTATAACAGGGGTGAATTTATGGTTTAGAAGTAAATATTTTTTATAATAGTATATAAGTAAAATCTATCAATCTAGTTCTTAAGAGCATTAGGACATCAGTTTGTCAAATCAATATGCAAACCCCTTTATATAGCAGATGAAAAAGGTGAGTTTTAAATTGTCCACTATTGTTAAAAAGATACCAGACAAGCTTAAACCCGCTTTGTATCCAATTTTTAAACAAACTGTTTTGTTGTTATATTTAAACATGTTATTATTCCATATTGGTTTTTGAGCAAAGCTTACATTAGAATTTAGTCTCGTAATCTTTAAATCTTTAACAATCCTTAAAAACTACAAAATACCTCTTTAAAAAAATCTAGATAGAATGTTCTATCGTTAAAATGATAAAGGTTTAACGATAGAATGCGTTCCGTGTATTGTCAATGTAGCAAAGAACTCTAACTCAGTGCATACACTATGAAAAATCCGGAGAGTTCCGAATGTCAACATGGTGTGTAAATTTGAAACGAGTAAAAAACGTTGGTGAAAAAGTGTTGAATTCTTCCGTTATACGGATTAAATATTTAGATGAAAGGTACTTACAGTCCCTAAAAGGTTTGTTATGATTAATTTAATTGTTATTTTCAATGCAACTTCATTAATTTTCTCCAAAATCGTTTCGGAGGCATATGGGAGGCATTCTAACTGTGGTGAGGGCCTGTCCCGAAACACAGTTAGATTATTCTAACTAAAAAAAAAATCATTTTCCTGTTTTTCAATCACAGTATCTCTTTTGAGTCTATTGCGTTTGTTCATATGAAGTTAAATATATGCTCATTTGCCCAGTATCTCGAGATCGGGCATTAGTAACATTTTAATACATATAAATTACTTTTGATATATAGGTAAGTAATGGTTACCCTATATAGTATTGTTGGTTATGTGCAGAAATACCCGATGGGCGTGGTCATCATGGCACGAGATATTGTAGTTCCCGACCACGTCCATTAGGTATCTTCACATAATCAACAATATTATAAGAAGTAAGTCACTTGTACCATAGTTAACTATAAATGATTGCTTTTGATTTTTGTCAAAAAAAACCCATAAATGTATAGTACGAATTTTGACAGACGTATTATTTGTTTGTTCGGTGTTTAACGTCCTTTTTGAGAATTTTTCACTCATGTGGAGACGCAAACCACTTGCTGGAGGAGGGATGCAAATTTAGACCTATGCTCGGCACTTAGGGCCATTGAGCAGTGACGGATCACTTTTGTGCCAGTACCTACTGCGACACGGGACCTCGGTTTATACAGTGTTGTTATCCACGTCCCGCAGTGGGATTCGAACCTGCGACGTAAGGATCAATTCCTTACACCACGACTCTCGAGAAAAACGCTCTAAACGCTAAGCCACGAGGGCGACTATTGAAAAATGTGCTTGACTTAAATGAGACAGGTTGGTTTGATCTTATTTTTGTTTGCACTTTCAAAATGAGAAAATTAAATGATTCAAACCCTTTTCAAATAAATTGAAATTTTTACAATTAAAATTCAAACATTTAACAATGTAAAGGAAAATGTGCAATTAGAATAGATGCAAAATAAAACTCAATTATTTAAGTACGTTTTTGATTTTCGAGTTTTCTTGGTTTTAAATAAATACATCAATATTGGAATCATTTAAGAGATACCAACGATGCCAATTTTTTACATTAAAAGTTTAAATCTAAAGTTTCAACTTATCTATAACTATCAGATAGTTATAGATAAGTTGAAACTTAAGATTTAAACTTTTAATTTAACACATTACCAGACAAAATGTTCAATACTAAGGTTATGTCTTCATTCAATAGGGAAACCAAGAAAATAGTTTTAAAAGATAAATTGTGCTTTTTTCTGAACTTGTTCTTGATTTGTTTACGAAGGTCAACGTCTAGAATGTAAGTTTTCAATTAATAATCACCTTTTAATCCTTTTCATTTTTTCTCTTAAATTTGGTATATTCTGTTAGCTGATTTTTTGTACTTAAAACGTGACTTTGGTCTTTACAATGTTCTATTGTCTCAAATCAATAGGCGGAATTTATCGAAAAGTGTTAGAGATGTACAGACAACCCACACCTTTAACAAAAATCATACCCTACTATGGTACAATAAATTGATGACACATGATTTCCCAAAGAGTCAATTTTTTTTTCAAGAATCAGAGTTATTTCATATTTTGAAAAGTTTTTAACCAATTAAAATCATAACGTTAAAATTCATTATGACCAATGTGTAAAGCTGAACATTGAACAACATAATTAGCTACATGTACCTGTATGCCCTCCTTCCCAACCTACGCAAGTGTACCAGCAAGGCTTTAAGAACCATGTTCATTGTTGTGCACAATTGTTATTTAACCTACTCCAAATAAGAAAACATGGATATGAAATTAACTTTAACTTATAGATCAGCTGTTTTGAAATTTTTTTTTTCAGAAATCATTTAATCACAAAAGTATTTTTTAAAAAAAAAAAAAAAAAAGGAATATGCACACACTTAATACTAGTATGTTGCATACTTATTTGACAGTTTTCGAACTATTGTCTGTAAGATGACGTTAACAGAAAATATTTTTTCATTGCAAAAAATTATATCGTGTAGTCTGTTTTAGCGGGTCAAAAATTTTGCGGATTTACAGGGTACAAGGTATATCTTTAAATTTGGATATAATTTTGACCAGTAAATCATTTTACATTTATTTAGAATGCACTTTTTTTATGTACAAAATGTAACAATTGTTTGAGTAGATTCGACCAAAAATACTACTCAAGTATGAAGAAAACAAGTTTTGTTCAAGTTTCACAAGCTTAAATTGTTCTGCATATTCACCATGCACTGAACCAAATTATAAATCTAAAGCATCACCTGCGTTAATTTTTTTATGTATATACAAATGCACTTAAATATAGCGACTTTTATTTTGGTGATTTTTTAAAAAAAAGAAAAAATAAGGACAAAAATTTATCCCCGATAAAATTACCAGCGATACTGTTTGCTTAGCTTTTTGTGCTCCTCCTAGTCACCAGATCCCAGGGCTCTATGTTTTGTGTCCTTTTCCAAAAATTTGTATTGTTTAAGAGTTTTGAGATTGATCACTTGTCGTTATCTTCATGCTATTTATTCTTATGACACCAAAACAAATTAAAGTACAACACCAAAAAAAGATATATTTTCCATAGAATTTAATCTGTTGTTAAGTAATGTCATAAGTGATTATTGATGAATGCATATATATGTGTGTCTTTCACTAATTGATAATTTTCAATTGCCAATGAGTACATGACTAATTAGTCATGTACTCATTGTCAATTGAAAATTGTTAATTAGTGAAAGACATATAAAGGAAAGCACTTGTGAATTTTTGTTTTCATCGAAACAAATTCTGTATATTTTTTTTTCAGCAGAAAGGGGAAGGAGTTCTGTATAGAAATAATTCTATGAAGAGATAATCCAACGGGAAAGGACAAATACGATTTACATGTCACCAGTAAATCTTCAGTCGGCCTTCTTACAAAGAACTTAGTGCTAATTTCATGTCGTTACTTGTTATCAGACG